TTTAATTTCTGAAAATAGTAACATGTTTTCTAGCAGTTAATATAGTGTACTCATCAGTTCTCAACCGTTGTTTCATTGCGAATATTTGCCCGAAGGTAGACACATTTTTTTTTTTTTTTGATGGCGCCGCAAATAGCATAATCTGGCGGGTTTAGGTCCAGACTGTTGGGTGGGTCACGTGTCTGGTTCGATGAAGGTCACATCCTCCCGTTGAAGAAAGTGTTTCTTGCCGAGTGTGAAGGAGCTCCGTCCTGTTGCAGTGTCCGGCTGTGACGGTTACATCGGACTCGAATTTCCATGGGCAATCCTTGTCCTAGGATGTGTTCACAATAGCAATCACTGTTGACTGTTCGCTCCAGGTCTCCACAAACACTACACTGTTGTTTTTTTCCCCCCATCTGAGAAACGCGGACCTAAACCATGACGCCTCGCCTGAGATGTCCACTTAACCACACGAGTCGCTGATGGTACATTTTTTTCCCCTCTTCTTTCACGCTTCAGAAGAAACTCGATCATTTTGAGATTTTGATACTATACAGGTACGGGCGAGAGTAAATCGAGTGTCTTTTCGCCTGTACAACGAATTGCTTCATACACTTTTCTAGTTTGGAAACCTATCAAATTACTGTTGACTTTGTTTCTGGCATTTTGATTTGAAAATTTCGCTTATAGCCTGCCTTACTTACAACTCATTTCTATAACGTTTGGACTTGAAGATATTGCTCGACAATACGGCTGCACTGTTCTCGATGATCGGTCAGTTCGTCCTTCAATGCCCCGTGGTCTCCTTGGCAATGCGAGGATCATCATCGTGGCTGAACAAAATCAGCTCACCGACACTCTGGATGTTCTGCACTGTTCTACATGTTCTTTACTGTTCCATACGTTCTATAATGTTCTATATCCTCTGCACTGTTGTATATTTTATGTACTGTTCTATATGTTCTGTAATGTCCTATATGTTATGTATTTTATATATTTTCTGAACTGTTCCATATGTTCTGTACTGTTCTATATGTTCTGTATTGTTATGTATGTTCGGTACTGCTCTTTATGTTCTGTACTGTTCCATATGTTCTGTACTGTACAAAATGTTCTGTATTGTTCTATATGTTCTGTGCTGTTCTATATGTTCTTTACTGTTCCATTTGTTCTATAATGTTCTATATCCTCTGTACTGTTGTATATTTTCTGTACTGTTCTATATGTTGTGTACTGTTCTATATGTTTTGTACTGTTCTTTATTTTATACTGTTCTGTATGCTCTGTACTGTTCCATATGTTCTGTACTGTTCTATATTTTTATACCCTTCTATATGTTCTGCATCCTTTATATGTTGTGTGCTGATCTATGTGTTCTGCACTTTTCTATATGTTCTACACTCTTCTATATGTTCTGAACTCTTCTATGCTGTCTGCACTCTTCTATGTTTTCTGTACTCTTCTACATGTTTTGTACTGTTCTAATAGTTTACAGCCAGTGGCTTCCTTGGTTTCATGCTATGTTAACATTTTTAAAAAAAACCAAGTCAAGGTCTATGAAGATTAAAATTTGTTTTGCTCCATGCTTTATTCGGAAACACTCATAATTTGTCTACTTTTCCGTTGTCTTTTAATTCGAAAACGTTCAAATCAGAATTCAATCGTCTACTGTCAATTTTTTTTTTTCATTTCATAAAAACAGTGAACACTGAAAAATTAATAGAAATATAAAGATGGCGACCGAAATTTAACGAAGCAGTGACGTCATACGTTGAGTTAGTGAGTAAGGTAATGGTTTAGTTTAAAAACTGCCCAACACCATAATTTGATATATCTTGAAATGTTTCCATTTTTCATTTTGCGCCAAAATTTGGACAAGGACTTCATTTCATAAAATACAGACGGATTTAGACTTAAAAACGGATGAGGGAGGAGGGGGGGGTGCAAGAGAGAAATCGTAAAAATTTGTCTCGAAAATTCATTAAATAAATAAATAAATATTACAGCAAAAGAAAAAGCACCACCAGCACCACCAACAACAACAACGGTGCTTCTTAGAATGTTCCGTGTGTCGAACCAGCAGGAAGTTATTCAAAGCTGGCTCACCAATCTACTGATCAACTGATTATCGCGACGTCCTTGAAATGCTTACTTTTGAGGACTGGGCTACTACTGTGAGATTTGAGAAGCACTGATCTAATTTTATTTGTAAAGACCACGCCCATAACTATTTGAAGTGGCAGTGGGTGGGTCCATATTTTCTTACGTCCAGTTCAGCTCAGTCGTGTACATATGGTCATGTACAATGTACACGTTCACCATTTAGAAGTAATCAAGGTGCAGCATGCGTCTTTATAGTTAAATCACCATATAGCATTTCACCCCAATCAAGTCTCACTCTAAATAAAGTTATATACTTACATAATATATCTCCGGATGAAATAGCAAAACGCCATATCCATGAGGTATCCCAAATGTAGGTCAAGATGAAATCCTTGCTGAAAACGTCAACATCTCCTTGTCCGGTAAAAAATACCACATGTTCTACAGAACACTTAAAGTAAATGAATGAACGAAAAAAAAAAAAAAAGGAAACTGTTGTTGGATTGTATTCATAAAGCAGATGTGTAAAGGTCAAGATGAAATCCTTGCTGAAAACGTCAACATCTCCTTGTCCGGTAAAAAATACCACATGTTCTACAGAACACTTAAAGTAAATGAATGAACGAAAAAAAAAAAAGGAAACTGTTGTTGGATTGTATTCATAAAGCAGATGTGTAAATGACAGTTTCTTCAATGGTCGTGACTAATCACATGTAATTGTTTGTATGCTGACTTCAACCCCGACAGATTCGTCGATCTGGTGATCAACTCTGAAATGAATCGTTCTTCTCATGAGTAACGCAAAGTTGATTGAGGTTAACTGATGGCGATTATCTGATCCATGCTTAGCTGCTCATCTTTCGTGTTGTCTTTAGTAAAGTTTAATATCACATTTTTTATACGTTGTAACTTTCAACTATTCTCACTCAATCAGTTTGGCCTCGGTCGAACCCTTGTACTAACAAATGAAAATATGGAAAGTTGACACTCTCTATGAATTATTTATAGAGCTTTAATATCCTTGTTATTAATGTATTACGTCTCCAGTTCAATTTGCGTGACCTAAACACAAACAATGTCTGTGCTAGGTATTAAACGCTGAGAACTGTCCATCACTGTTCTACTAGATCAAATGTAAACATAACCGAGCAAAGCGGGAGATGACATCATTTGCTCTAATTATCAACACGCCTTTTAACACATTAGCCATGGCCGCGCGCCGTGAGTACAACAATATAGTCCTCATAATCATCGCTGTACAAATCTGATCAATTAGAAATTGAACTCAAGTCGTCCGCCGTGTTCCTCATTGAGCTGACAGTTCATCTATATCAGCTCGACTGCCCCCCCCCCCTGCAGAGCGCGTAAAATACATGGAACACATTTAGCAGAACATTGAGTCGATTTGAAATGAATGCTGGTAAACAACATTGTTCATAGGATACATTTGAGTGGGACTTGAAGTGGTTGAATAGCCAGGAGGGGGGAGGGGGGGGGAAATCCCACGGTGTCGCATCTTGTTGGCGATATATATATATACATATATAATGATTATTTTAGGAGATGGTTAGAAATTGTATTTTGCCAAAATGTTAGAAATTTCAAGAAGGGAGCATTCGCTACCCTCTGCTCTCTCCCTCTCTCTCTCTCTCCACCCCCCCCCCTCCACGGATGCCCATGGTATTTTCTGTGATTTTTTTCTTTATTATTTAGTATCCATGCGTTGAAAATAACGACGAAGTCAATACATGTAGATATGAAGGAAAAAAAAAACAAAAACAATTCTTAAACAGGCCAAATAAAAATTTTCCCAAAATGTTAGAAATTTCAAGAAGGGAGCACTCGCTACCCTCTTCTCTCTCCCTCTCTCTCTCTCTCCACCCCCCCCCCTCCACGGATGCCCATGGTATTTTCTGTGATTTTTTTCTTTATTATTTAGTATCCATGCGTTGAAAATAACGACGAAGTCAATACATGTAGCTATGAAGGAAAAAAAAAACTCAAACAATTCTTAAGCAGGCCAAATAAAATGTACGATATTAATATTATTAATTTAAATAATTATCAATCACTACTTCATATTTATTTATAGACATGGAGATAAACTAGCATAAGATCGTCAAACAGAAATCCTGAAACATTTAGGCCCTATATGTTCAGAAGTTGCCACCAGTGGTCCAAATAATAATGATCACGTGACTAGTAGATACGTAACTGCGTGGCGAGAGAAGATATTTATAGCCTACGTTTTATTTTACTTTTGCCAGCCGCCAGAACCTAATTTAATTATTTTAATTAAATTAATTAACTAATCATGGGTTGTCCCCCACCCTTTCACCTTATCAAAATGGCCAATCATTAATATTAAATATGATTAGTTCAAAATGTCTTTAAATTATTATGCTAGCAATTGAAAGATTCAGATTCCCCCAAAAATTGTTTCAATTAAGCAGACGTAAAAGAAATAGTTAAAGATAGCCCTTTTATGAATGCAGGTAACTAAACATTTAAGGTTAAGGGCCTAAAGAAACAAAAAAGTTGAGGATCTAAATTGACAGTATTTAGCCCCTATGTCTTATGATATTATCGTCACTTCTTTATATTTTTTACATTTTATTTGTACACTGTGATCTTTTACTGTTCATTTGCACAAATTTACACAACTATAGCCTTATAATTTATAATACAGAACTGCATTTATTAATCAGTAAAGTCTTAAACATTATATTCAAAGTTCCGGAGAGGTTAAATATACCAAAATGTCAAATAAAACGAATGGGAAATAAAAATGTTGTTCCAGTTCCTAATGGAGCAGCTTTTAACTGTGTACCATAAATTCATGTACCATACTCTATCAACTACATTTTTTTCACAAGGCATTGTGTGCATTTTTAACTGCTGAATATTATAGGAATAATCTTAACTTAACTTTACTTATTCAACGAATATGACAATAATGATATAATACATTCATGAGCAGTTGCAACTTGTGTAAAAGACATTTACCCTAACAAAAATGTCAGTTATAATAGAAACATCCATTGGAGATTTAACTGTAGACCTCTACACAGATGAAAGATCAAGATGTAAGTTTGAGAAAATCTTGCGACTCTCATTCACTGACTCAACTGAACACTCAAACTTTACTTTACTATTAGACTATTACTATTAATTATAATATAACTATTTAATAAAATTTAGTCTAAAGTAAAGTTAAAGACTCCTTCTTTATTCTTTACTTAGACTTAGTACTCTTTCTTTACTCTTAGACATCATGTTGATTCATATACAAATAGACTGAATGAGTTTGAAATACACTGAATGAGTTTGAGTTTTGACTCATTAACTCTAATTAATTAAGACTTGGTTAGGACTTTTAATTTTAAGGTTTAAGTTTTTACTACTTAGACAGACAACCTCATACTACCGTATGACTCATACTAACTTTTTTACACTACTAACACCATTCACTATGCCATACTGCCCATTCCATACCACTATGGCGTCTATGGCCATGTCTTTTTTTCCCTTCTATTTTTAATTAAGCCTTAGCTTTTAAGTTAAAAGCTAAGACTAAGACCTCAAGTTTTAAATGTACTTCTACAATCTGCTAAGGTTGAGGAGTTAGTGGTTGTAAGGCCAGCAATGTCTACTTTATAGTATATAGTAAAGGCCTAAAGTTTATTCCCTCCATTGTAGTCAGTAAATTAAATTATAATACCGGTAGTAATTTTATTGCCTCAGATTTGCTATTGTTTAGTTAGTTACTGCTGGATCTAGGGGACTAGGATTAGTCATCGCATCTTATAAATTTGCCTCGTAAAATTTCTATCAGGATGAATTTCTATGCAAAATCAGTACCGTAATGGCAGGTATTCTTATTTTACATTGAATTGTTTAGCTTTGTGTTTTTTTACAGGTATTAAAAAAAATTAATAAAATGTCAACTTTTAACAATATTTTCCGATAGATATATTTATGAGGATCATATAAATAGTTAAGGCTATGGGGCGAAAGTAAGCGAAATCTGAAAATATTTTATTGAATTGGAAATAACCACTGTACACTGTAAGGTGGCCTTTTATCCTGAATATAGTGAAACAGAGAATCTGAGGATTGGGTCAACAATGATAGTGATTTGCAACCACTACAGCTTTAATAGATCAAGACATTGTATTTCTATTATTGATAATCTGGAGAAGGAGAAGCAACCTGAACAAAGTCTAGTAATAAAACATGCAAAGCTGTAATAGTTTAGAGAAAGGCGTGGGAGAAGTGGATGGTGCCAGTTAGTGCATTTTTTAAAAGTTAGGTAAAATATGGGATTTGGTTTGCATAAACTGTAATGTGTATGTATTTATGGGTACTATGAGTGTGTACAAGTATGGACACTATGTGTGTATGAGTATGGACACTGTGTGTATGAGTATGGACACTATTTTTGTGTGTGTTTAAATGTCCATTTTGAAGAATTGCGGTTATTAGAATCACAGTTTAATATAATCAATAGGCACAGACACTAGTTTATGGGTTGTAACATATTTTCATTGGTCAACAGATACAAAGTAACTGTGGCTAGATAAATATGGAGGTCTAATAACCAATTTTGATTAATGTTAGATAGGGAAGGTTAATGAAATACCCTTATGTGAAATCCAATTTCTTGAAAAAGTTTTGAGGTGTATATCTATATCAAGGATTACAAGCTTTTGAAAATGCCGATGAAACATAAGAAAACAGCATTGTTACCCTTAAATTTTCTAAGAGCTGTCATATTGCATTTTTTTTTCAGGTTGTATAAATTTCTTGAAGTTGTGCAAGATCAAATATTATAATTTTTCATTGTTTCATACTGTACAGGTAAATATTTTCTTAAGTTAAAGTCAGTGTATAAATTCTTAGATAAACATTCAGTTTAAATAGAGTTTCCATTTTAAGACTGTTTGTTTTAGGTTAAACAGATTTTTGTCTGGTACATTAGTATTACTCATCCTTGTCACTGTCACATCTGTTTAAAAATATAAAAAAAATTCATCCTTTGGTTTAACAATGAAAAATTCCTTTCTCAACAAGTTAAATCTGTTATTTATTAATTTTATTTATTTAATTCAATGCAGCAAAATCTTGTTGCTCAAACTGGCGATCCTACAGCTACAGGAAGAGGAGGTGAATCCATTTTTGCGTAAGAGAAGTGTTAACAAAATTGTACAAGTTTTTTCATTTGTTTTAAATTTCAAAAGTTTTTATTGACTCAAAATTCAGAAAAATTCAGTTAGAAAGATTGATATCAAAATATTGACTTTCTGGACTGGACTAAATGACTGTGGCTCTTTAATAAACAGAATTGTTCATAACCACTGTTTTAAAATCATATTTAAAAAATTCTTAAAAGATATAAATGAATAGAGTCCACAAAAAGGATCTTTCATTACCTCCTCAAAAATTCCGTTTACACAAAAAATCATAACGAATGAACATATTTTTCAAGGAATTCCTTATTGTACAGGGGTTGAATTTGGGAAGTTTCCATCTGATTACCCGGTACGCAATATGTTCATTGAAAAGAAGGTGTCGCATTTATTACGTTACTAAGTAATTATTAAGTAATTATTAAGTAATTATTTAGTAGTTATTAAGTAATATTATTAAGTAATTATTAAGTAGTTACTAAGTAATATTATTAAGTAATTTAGTTTACATAATGCTGTTAATTTACATTATAGTATTATAGAGAAAATATAGCATGATAAAATTAGGAATTAAATTAATTTTTGTAAAATCTACTTATGGCTATAATGCAGACGGTTATATGGAGAACAGGCAAGATTTTTTGATATGGAAGTTACGCCTCGCATTAAACACTCCAAGAAAGGGCTCATATCTATGGTCAACAATGGCAGTGGAATGCATGGATCTCAGGTTAGTTCTTAACCAAAATATGTGGATTGTCTTATTCCTAAACAACTACTATGTGTTTTTAAGATTTACAGATTTTAGTTTGTTATACATGAACAAATATTTTATTTTGTAAAATTTTCTTGATTTCAATGAAATCTGGAGCTAACTGCTTTCGGTTGCAAGTAAAGTTCTTAAAGTAGTAAGAAAGGAAGTGTATTATCTTGATTAAACAAAGATTGTGGATAGAATCTAAGTACATATTTAATGTATTTTATGGTACTGTACCATACTCTGTATTACATTATGCTTTTAACTGTGATGGCTTTGTCTACCTTAACAAACTGCACAAGCTGCCATGTTTTATTGATAAAATAGAATTGAATTCACAGCTTGTGCTGTCTTTTTTAGTTTTTCTTCACACTTGCTGACAACCTGGACTACCTTGACGGCAAGCACACAGTTTTTGGTGAAGTTACTGAAGGCTTTGAGATCCTCGACAAACTGAACAATACATTTTGTGGAGAGGATAACAGGCCGCACCAAGACATCAGGTAAGAAACCAGACATTACTGCCATGGGTGGCTTTCGTTGTGGACGCTGGTAGAAAGTACACTTTATTTGTCTTGCAGGCATAAGTCGTCATTTTCAATACATCAATGAGAAAAGTATGATTGGTGGTTTGCAAGGGTTAGGCAACCTAGGTGCTTGATATGGTACCATGTACTTTAAGGGTATGGTTAGACATGGGTTTTATGTTGATATTATGGGGGTTAACTTAAATACCTACAGTTTTATAATATTTTGTGTGTAAGAAGAATACCTTACTATTTTTAGTTGTTATAGAAGAATTGTCATAGAAATATTTGCCTTGTTAAGGGTAATCTTATTATGAGTCTTTTTAATTCTTGTCAATGCAAATGATACAAAATTATTTTGTTGCCATCTTTAGTTTAACCAGTGATATTAAACTCCATCATATTTCAGTTGTTTCTATCAAGAATGCAAGAATGCACCAAATATTATACCACTTCACATAAACATTCTTGATTATTTCTACAGGATATATCACACCATCATTCTAGATGACCCTTATGATGATCCTGATGGTTTGGTTGTTCCTGCAACATCTCCTGGTCCAACAGAGGAAATGTTAAATGTAGGAAAATAGATATTAGGATTGATGAATTTTAAAAAAAAAAAAAATTTAATCATGCTAATCAAAAATTGACTTTTGTTTTAAATGAAGTAAGATCAATACAGTTTTTATGGTAGCAAGGATCTTCCATTTATTTATTATTTTCAGTTCATGAAATTTTTTTGAATCAGTCAATTGAGTTTTTAATTTGATCCTGGAGATCACCTGGGAAGAATCAAGCAAGAAGCCAATGATTCTTCCTTGCTTAATTAGTGGAGGGGTAGACAAAAAAGTTTATGCTTTGAATCTCTCCTGGGGAAAAAAACCAATAAAGAGAAAACTGGTATTTTCAGACAAATTTATTTGCTTTTTTTTTCTTTCTGATTGCAAACTCAAATAATTTTAAAAATATTTACTCTCCAGAGTGACCACATTCCATGTGATGCTGACATTGATAAGGACAAGGATAAGACAGAGGAAGAACTGGCTGAGATAATGGCAGAAAAGGAAGCTAAGGCCAACACACAAATTTTAGAAATGGTCTGATTCAAATCTAGCCACAAATATTTCATTATTTTTGTAATTGAAAACTAATGTTAGGAAAATGAGATTATTGATCTGGAATGATGACATTTACCTGAACTTTATGGTGTGATGATGGTGAACTTTTGCATTGACATCAAAAAAACAACTTTTCATTCATTCAGTTAATTCACAACTTAATTACAATGAAAATCAGCATTCTCTAACATGATTTGATTTTATATTTTAGTTGATACAAATCCCTCATATTTAGTTATATTACTGGCATCATGTCCAGCCATTTTCCAAGAAATCACAATGACTTAATTGTGCGGTATGTCTGAAAATGTTTTTTGTTTCTTGTACAAGGTTGGAGATTTGCCAGATGCAGAAGTGGCTCCACCAGATAATGTCTTATTTGTTTGTAAGCTGAACCCTGTGACCACCTCAGAAGATTTGGAGATAATATTCTCACGATTTGGTCCTGTTGTTAGTTGTGAAGTTATCAAGGTAAGGAAAGATTCAAAATGCTTTTAAACATTTTTTTCTGGCTAACCACGAGAATAGCCCAGATCAAAGAAGCCACAAATTGAAATACCAAAGTTTGAATGAATGACTCTATATCCTTTCTGGCATATGACAACTATCCAAAGACATATTAGCTACAGACATAAGGAGAGTCCATGATCTTGAAAAAAAAAGAAAAACACATGAGAACTCCGTTCAAAGAAAAAGCCAAGACTCTGTTCAAAATTACAACTCACATTCAAGAACTTAACAGTTATTCATACTGCACAATTATTCGACGAAAATCTTGCTACAGACTAATTTTAAAGAACAATGAAAATCTCAAACAAGGATTTTCAAGACTGAAAGATATGTACGATGAATAAAAAACAACAAATGTCCATTTATTTGGATCAATAACAGTATCTTATCACATCATTTTCTTCAGGCGATTGTTTTAAATATAACCCTGTGTCCTGCTTTCATTCAAAAGGATGCAAAAACTGGGGAGTCTTTACAGTACGCCTTTGTGGAGTTTGAGAAGCCAGAAAACTGTGAGAGTGCTTACTTCAAAATGGACAATGTTCTTATTGATGACAGACGCATCCATGTTGACTTCAGCCAGTCTGTCTCCAAGCTGAAATGGAAGGGCAAAGGTTGGTATCTCAAATCATTGTTTACCTTGTTCCTCTTTGGTGATTGTTTAAGGTGTCTATTGATGATACAAGAATTACAAAACATAAACCATTAAGGAAAACTTGAAAGAAGATGAAACAAAAATAAGCAACGGGCAGTAAGAGGCCTTCTTCTGCTAATAAAAATGGTTAAAAAACAACAACAACAAAAACTTATCTTATGCTGTGCCAAGTCTTGAAAACTGTGAAGTGGAGTTTTCTTTTAACTTTTGTGTGGGCTTATTATTATTTTTGTCTGCTCACTATACTAGGAAAATATATTTTTAAGAATCAATATAAAAATTACCTTGTGTGCAATTTGTATTCTTGGTACAATGATAACAATTGCATCCTTAGAATTAGTTAAGTCACACATGGTCTTAGATAATCCCATCTGAATTTCACTGGCACAAACTGACAGAAGAAACTGACTGCCACGAAAGAATTTGTCACAGGGTGAAGAAGAATAAATGGTTAGATTTTTTCGTAAGGAATACAACAAGTGAGATGTATTACAATTGCGTGTGCACTGTCAATGTCTTTAGCAAAGACGGCTGCTTCACCAATTTGAAATATTTTTTATGAATTTTAACAGAACCTGGTAAACTTTTCTATTGGATTAAATTGTATTCATTGTTTCATTGAACAGGTCAAGGTGTTGAGATTATGGCAACTGGGGATGCACCAATATATGTACTGAAAAATCAGCAACGTAGAAATGAGTATCCTTTGATCTTTGTCATGGCAATGGTTTTTACTTGCTTGATATTTTCAGCATACAAAACTGCTCTTTCTCTCAACAAAATTTTTTTATTTGATTAAGAGCAGGAATTTTTTTTCTAATATGTCACTAGCCACATAGTTTGCCCTTGACCCTGAACTAGCGGCTATGACCTGGTCTATGAGGAACATCCATCGGACAACCCAAAGAAGTCAAAGTTAGAGAAAAAGAAGAAAAGCAAAAATCTCTCAGATCATGAAGAACGGGAGGACAAATACGTAAAAAAGGTTTGAGCTAAATGTGTTGTATTACTAAACACATCTGTAAAGTAGTCATGCAAACAGAAATGGTTGAAAATAGTTCATTTTGATTTTATGTTGTTTTTTTTTATTTTAATTTTTGTTTTGTTTATTTGTTCAATTTAATTTCAAATATTGTTTATTATTATGGTACTAATTAAAAAAAAAAATTTACATTAACATTACAATTGTTTAATTGTCCCCTTTATTCTTTTCAAGGCTAAACATATCTTGTTACACTATTTATTTATTGACAAGTTATGTGTATTTTTGTGTGTTTGGATGAAGTTATACTGTGTATTTTTTATCTGTTTCTCTGTTCTCAGTTTTTACAAATATGTTTAAAATCAATATTTTTTCAAACTGAAAATACTTGAAAACTAAATTAAAATGCTTATTTTATTGTAATTTCAGCGAGGAAAAAGTCGCTCCAGAAGTCCAGTGGCCAGGAACAGATCAGATTATGACAAAGACAATTACAAGAACAGCAGGCAGTCAGACTCTAGACATACTGACACTCGTAAAAGGAATGATTATGACAGGCGGGGGAGAGAGGATGACACAAGACTGAAGAAGGATGATTACGATAGCAGAGAAAGGTCGAGAGATGACAGAGACAGAAAAAAAAATGATAGAAGGGAAATCCCAGAGAACAGAAGTAAGAGAGACAGGCTGGGAAGCGATGAAAATGGGAAGGGAGATAAACGTAAAAGAAAGAAATCTCACAGTACCAGTGCTGAGAGAGAAAGGGGACATAATTCAACCAAAAAAGATAACTTTCATGTAAGCAGCGACAGCGATGAAGAAGACCATGGGAAGAAAAAGAAGAGGAAGAAATCAAAAAAGAAAAACCATAAAAAGCATAAGAGACACCATGTGACCAGCAGTGATGAATCTGACCAGTCAGACGGCAGGAAAAGAGACAAGCGTGGCAGTCCCGAGGCAGCAAAAAAGTCCAAGAAGAAACACAAAGCTGACCAGTACTCGAGCGCTTCAGACAACTAGAAATAAATTTTGTATTCATGTTGAAATTGAAATTGTTAAATAAAATTGTTTGAAAATTTCACCTCCTTTCACTGGGTACTCTCTTGAAGTTTGAATGCAGTGTGGTGTCTTTAAACGAACTACTCCTACAGCTCATAGTAAGCTGTCCCTCCACCCTCCCCTCAAATCACTTTAAAGACCCCACAGTTATATTTCCTTTTTAAACATTATGTTTTTATTTTGCAAAGGTGGCAGTGTTGTAAATAAAAGAAAATGACACACAGGACATTTGTTAAACTACCGTCAATACTAACAACACACAGACCAAATTTACAAACATGTTAGCATTCCTAAAAAGGACCTGTCAGAAACAGTTTAAAAAAATATTTACTATTCATTTTTGGGGTGATTTTTTTTGTTGAATCAGTCTGAAGTTGGCTAATTGAGGTTAAGACATATTTGCTTTACAAACTTTAAAACTAATATAGGAAGTTTCGTACATGATAATGTCTTTGTCCGTTGAAGGTAAAATTCCTGTTATTGCACATTGCAAGACCATCATTCCTGGTCAAATTATACAATTTTGGAATGATATATATATTAAAGTATTACAGTCGCTTTGGCATTCCTCTTTCTGTACTTTTGGATGCTACATTGAATTCCTCTTGCTGTACTCTATGATGCTACTTTTAAACCAAGTACATTTTTAAGATTATTCACAAGTTTGAGAAAAAAATAAATCACATGCAACTACAATGGTTAGGAAAGTCCATTTGTTGAACAGGTGCAAGGTTCATACAAGAATATTGATTCAACAAATGCAAGGTTAATACAAGAATATTGATTGAACAAATCCAAGGTTCATACAAGAACATTAGTTGAACAAATGCAAGGTTCATACAAGAATATTGATTGAACAAATGCAAGGTTCATACAAGAATATTGATTGAACAAATGCAAGGTTCATATTAGAATATTGATTGAACAAATACAAGGTTCATATTAGAATATTGATTGAACAAATACAAGGTTCATACATGAATATTGTTTGAACAAATGCAAGGTTCATACAAGAATATTGATTGAACAAAAACAAGGCTCATCAAGAATATTGATTGAACAAATGCAAGGCTCATCAAGAATATTGATTGAACAAAAGCAAGGCTCATATTAGAATATTGATTGAACAAATACAAGGTTCATATTAGAATATTGATTGAACAAATGCAAGGTTCATATTAGAATATTGATTGAACAAATGCAAGGTTCATACAAGAATATTGATTGAACAAATGCAAGGTTCATATTAGAATATTGATTGAACAAATACAAGGTTCATATTAGAATATTGATTGAACAAATGCAAGGTTCATACAAGAATATTGATTGAACAAATGCAAGGTTCATATTAGAATATTGATTGAACAAATACAAGGTTCATATTAGAATATTGATTGAACAAATGCAAGGTTCATACAAGAATATTGATTGAACAAAAACAAGGCTCATCAAGAATATTGATTGAACAAAAGCAATGCTCATCAAGAATATTGATTGAACAAAAGCAAGGCTCATCAAGAAAGGCGTAGGGGAAAAACATGATAAAATGAAAACAGCTTATCTCACAGTGGTAGGCGTAGGGGGAAAACATGATAAGATTAAAATAACTAATCTCACGGCGTGTGGAGTTGGAGAGGAACCCCTGCTGAATTGGTCTTCCTTTTAATACTTTGACCTATTATACCAAAAGTACAAATGCGTCATGACTGACTGTCCACGCCCATGGAGCCCGGTTAGCTCAGTCGGTAGAGCATCAGACTTTTAATCTGAGGGTCAAGGGTTCAAGTCCCTTATCGGGCGACATCGCCAGCATTTTTTTTTTCTGTTCAAGGAATATTATTCTTTAAATATGTCAAATATATTTTTATGAACTTAGTCAAGTTCGATGCGGAATTGTGCTTTAAAAAAGTAGTGCCAAAGGCCAACTCCCCAATAAATATGTCTTTATTTAGGAGCATTTACAGTGTCACATTTACCCTTACCGATGTTACACCATTCAGCTGCTGTAGATGGCGTCATTTCAACTCCTTTGATCCTGTCTATGGTAGCTGGACAGAGATGGCTTAGCTTGCTTAAAATATACGATAACAATAGCATAGACTCAGTGTATGTGCCTCGCCAATAGCATACCAATCATCGTCATCAGTGGCACTACAGCCCTTATGTAGTGCCCTGGCTGCTCCACCACATCCTTCCATTCGGACCGATCCATCGCATTCCGCCTGGATGTGTCGACCACACGCTGGTGTAAGTCCTTCTCTACATCGTCAATCCATCTCAGTCTTGGACGACCAATGAGTCGCCTGCCCCTACGTTTCCTGCGGTAGATCATTTTTGCTGCTAATCCTCTCGAGGTGTCCTGTCAAGAGCAGGCTGTTGCTACCTCCTGCAGTTGATAAATTATTTCTTAATAGCACAAAAATGCCCGCCTACTAATTTTGTAAATAGAAAAATGATCACTAACAAGTTCAAGGAATATTTACAGAGATCATTTTAGAACAAATATTTTTTTATAAGTACAGCTTTAGTTTAGCCATTATATACTCGTAAAAATGTTATGTTCCTTTGTATTGCTTATATGTTCATTGACTGATGAGTGAGAGAGGTGGAGAGAGAGAGAGAGGTGGAGAGAGAGAGAGATAAGAGTAAAAAATATATATTACAATGTCCTACAGGGAGATAAGCCAAAGAAACATCCTTTCCGGAAATTCACCCTGTAATTGAATCGCGTTCTACATTTTGTGTGGTACGGGGTGTGAGGGTTGATCCCCAGGATTCAGTGGAGTAGCTAGAGTTTGTGACACCTGAGGCGGGTCTAGACTTGCCCACGCCTCACCCAGGATTCAGTGGAGTAGCTAGAGTTTGTGACACCCGAGGCGGGTCAAGACTTGCCCACCCCTCACGAAGAATACAAACCATACTAACTACTCAGCAAACGTGATATATTGTTAAAGCCGAGAACTGAAAATGCAGGCGTAATGAAAAGTGCCGCTGGTGGCGTATAATATGCTCCCTACTCCCTCTCAACACACACACCTAAACTCCCTCCCAGCACACATACCTCTACTCCCTCTCTCCACATGCACCTCTACTCCCTCTCTCCACACATCCAGCTCTACTCCCTCTCTCCACATGCACCTCTACTCCCTCTCTCCACACATCCAGCTCTACTCTCTCTCTCTCCACATGCACTTCTACTCCCTCTCTCCAAATGCACCTCTACTCCCTCTCTCCACATGCACCTCTACTCCCTCTCTCCACACATCAAGCTCTACTCCCTCTCTCCACATGCACCTCTACTCCCTCTCTCCACACATCCAGCTCTACTCTCTCTCTCCACATGCACCTCTACTCCCTCTCTCCAAATGCACCTCTTCTCCCTCTCTCCGCACATCCAGCTCTACTCCCTCTCTCCACACATCTAGCTTTACTCCCTCTCTCCACATCCACCTCTACTCCCTCTCTCCACACATCCAGCTCTACTGCCTAGCACCTCTACTCACTCTCTCCACCCATCCCGCTCTACTCTCTCTCTCCACATGCACCTCTACTCCCTCTCTCCACATGCACCTCTCCTCCCTCTCTCCACACATCCAGCTCTACTCCCTCTCTCCACACATCCAGCTTTACTCCCTCTCTCCACATCCACCTCTACTCCCTCTCTCCACACATCCAGCTCTACTGCCTCTCTCCACATGCACCTCTACTCCCTCTCTCCATATGCACCTCTACTCCCTCTCTCCACATCCAGCTCTACTCCCTCTCACAACATACACCTCTACTCCTCCATACATCCACCTCTAATCCCTTTCCACACACCCTAAACTGTCCCTCACAATGACCACACGTCTTCAAGTCCAATGACTTGGTGTCAGGTCCAATAACTCGCTGTCAGGTCCAATAACTCAATGTCAGGTCCAATGACTTGTGTCAGGTCCAATGACTTGGTGTCAGGTCCAAAACTTACTGATAGGTCCTATAACTTGGTTTTTAAAGTTAAGCACAAAATAACTTCACCAAAAAAAAAACAAAAAAAAAAGCAAAAAAAAAAAACCACGTTTTCAAATCGTTAGATATCCTCTAATAATAAAACAAGAATGCAATGTTTGATATATCACGCTGAGAACCATTGGCCATGACACATCACTTTGACAATCATTGACCATGACATATCACTTTGAGAAACAATGGCCAGAAAGCACCCATTTCTCCTGCAAAACGGCATGCATTCACCGCCTGCTTCCTGCTTAATATATGAACAATCTAGGGCACTAGGTTACTCCATTCTATTCTTGTACACTGTCTAAAACAATCTTCTAGAACAATTCACCTTTGACCTCAACTAACCAGAACGTTTCCCTTGACAGAGTTGTTGCGTTATAAATGTAGCGTACACAATCTGTTAACCCTTTGGTGCCATTCACTATCTGATGTTATCATCCACGCACCTACAGGATTAACTTGTTAGTAATCCCCGGTTTCAAATATCAAGTTTGTTTAAATATCAAGTGTATTTTTATTCTTTAATGGATAGTGTTTATTTTTCCTTTATGGATCAACGGATTTTAAATGTATAAACTATACACGCACTTGAAAAATCATTCGCCTCCATGGCTTATCAGCGTCCATGTTTATTCCATCAAATAGCTGAAAAATTAAACTTTTAAAATAGTTATTTTCGTTAAAGAAACCGTCATTTAAGAAAATAGTGAAACAAGATATGTTTAGACAGGACATTTAGATGGACGTATCGGCCAGACGCCTTCTTTGGCAGACAATACAACAAAAAGAAACAACAGCACTGATGATTCGAAATAAAAAAATATATGTTTTAGCTAAATTTCAATGAAGTCAACGTAGCTCTTAAGTTTGAAAACCGGCAGCCCTATATAATAAACCGTGATGTATATTCCGTAATCTAAGACTATTTTAAAATGCATATTATCATCATTTGGGATACAATGTATAAAAATTCAAAAAAAAAAGGCGCAGGCAATGTAAGAACTTCCCATCCACTAATATTAATTGAAAAAAAAAAAAAAAAAAAAAAAAAAAAAAAAAAAAAAAAAAAAAAAAATAATTAAAAAAAAAAAAAAAAAAAAATAAAAAAAAAAAACAGCAAGCAAAATAAAAAATTTACCAACAAAAAAAATAAATAAAAAAAAAAAAAAAAAAAAAAAAAAAAAAAAAAAGTGCATTCCAGTAAAGCGCATTTTAAAAATGATTCACAATTAGTGCAAACTTCTGGGAATTTTATTTTTGCTCGCCGATAAAACACAACGTTACAACCTTTAACTAGAGAATTATTATTTGCCAATGCCACAATTTCTGAATGAAGGGGGAGCACTTTCAGTGACTCTTGCAAAGTTTACAGTCTGTTTACAGTCTGTGTTGTGGTTCGTAAATATTTTGTTTAGTAGCAAATTGAATTACTAGCTGTGCACACAAATGATGTAGATAAGACCTTCTCTGCGTCACAGGGTGTTCTGAAACATGCAGAGCCACCAACAACTAGTACGTAGCCTAGAAAGCCACCAACAACCAGTACGTAGCATAGAGAGCCACCAACAACCAGTACGTACTCTAGAAAGCCACCAACAACCAGTACGTAGCCTAGAAAGCCACCAACAACCAGTACGTAGCCTAGAAAGACACCAACAACCAGTACGTAGCCTAGAAAGCCACCAACAACCAGTACGTAGCCTAGAAAGCCACCAACAACCAGTACGTAGCCTAGAAAGCCACCAACAACCAGTACGTAGCCTAGAAAGCCACCAACAAATAGTGCGTAGCCCAGAAAGCCACCAACAACCAGTACGTAGCCTAGAAAGCCACCAACAACTAGTACGTAGCCTTGAAAGCCACCAACAACCATTACGTAGCCTAGAAATCCACCAACAACCAGTGCGTAGCCTAGAAAGCCATGAGCAACCAGTATGTGACTTAGAAAAGGCATCTACTCATCATTATTTATTTAAGATTTGTAGGATTTTCATCAAAACTGTTCTCAATGTGATTATTTAAAAGATGCATACAAAGTATGCCCTGTAGATAAAACACGACGGGCGAAAGTGAAGAATACCGCAATAAGAGAAGAGGCCCTTGAATCTACAAACGTGGCCGTCACACCATAGAGCTGCTTACGTTAAAGGTTTTTGGGGGTTTTTTTTAGGTTTTCCTGAACAGTTTCGAACCTTCTCTTTCTCGAGGCTAGAGCCTTATCACTTAAAATTAATCTTATCTCATTTGTTTCTCTTTTTTTTTTTTTTTTTTTTTTTTTTTTTTTTTTTTTTTTTTTTTTTTTTTTTTTTTTTTTTTTTTTTTTTTTTTTTAGTTATAGTGTTGTAGATAAAATTTTAACGTGCCCGCATTCAATTCATAAATATTTCTTGTTAATCTTTTGACACTTACAATTGTATTATAGTCCGACCGTCTGGTTATTGTGAGAGACAGTTGAAATTCAATTTCAGGAAACGAACAGTGACTCGTTAATTAACCTTGAAATTAATTTGAACCGAAAGGGTCTATAGGGCGATTTAACAGGCATCCATAGAATGCACAAGAAAATGTTTTAGTGGTCAGTTTTACGGCCAGTAACAAATTAAAATTGTTAGTGTAAAATACTTCGCCCGCATGTAAAAGTTATTTCATGAAAAAATGAAGGGGAAAAAAAAATCAGAAGAGTCATATTTTCGGGATGCACTATTAGAGCGATTTATTTTAGTTTAGACAACAACAAAATGTGCAGAGTAAATTTTTCGATTGATGAAAATTTATAACGCAAGTGAAATTTAAAAAAAAAAGTATTATTTTTTTTTTTAATTTGCCTTTTTAAATAGGGTTTAAAGCTTGAGCAATGTCAAGAACGACTACTGTACTTTCGGTTGCCGTTGCGGCCATATTACTTAAAGTGTTGTACATTGACCGGAACACTGAATCCAATAAATTACCAGTGATTCAACGCTTCAACGAGTCATACGACTATATTGTCGGTAAGTTTGTTTTTTTTTAAAGACACTATTTATTTTAGACTTAATTAAATACATCCCAATGCAGAAATAATCGTCTCTTTTAAATAAAGAAATTTTTAAAAAAAATGTCTCTCTACCTCTAATTCACTCAGTCTTTTATTTTGGAACTATCAATTTAATTCTATGATCGTAAAGACTTGACATCCCAAACGTAAAGTAATTTTGAAAGAGACTTGATTTATACATACTTCAAAAACATTTCTAAAAAATTTAAAGTTAATCGATTCCCCCCCCCCCTTTCCCTAGAAAGTTTTCTGCGGGCGCCCATGCTACGTGAATATAATATGAGATTTCAAACTCTTACTTTTCATTAAATCAGCCACAATATGTACAATCAAATTTAGGACAATGAAAATAATTACATTTCATTCCGGATTAGTCTATCTTATAATTATTTTTAAATTTAAAAATGTATTATCTGTTAGTTGGGGCAGGATCAGCTGGCTGCGTTGTCGCTAATCGACTGTCGGAGGATGCAGGCGTCACGGTACTCCTGATAGAGGCCGGCGAAGATGATTGGAGCAATCCCAACATTACCATCCCAGGCTTGGCTGTCGCCACCTGGCGGACGGACATTGATTGGGCCTACTCCACAGAGAAACAAAACGGGACGATGCTGGGCTTTACAGATGAGGTGAATGCAGGGGCGTAGGAATGGGGGAGGGAGGTGCTGAGTGCGATGTTCACCCTGGGGCGGCACTTTTCTCTTTACATAAAAGGGTGGAATTTTCGGCCAACTGCAGGGTTGTTGTTTTTTCGTCGGAAGGGGTGGCAAAAGTCTTGGCCCGCCCAGGGTGGCACTGACTCTAGCTACGCCACTGAGTGAATGTTTTAAATACTAAGTTGCTTGACTGTAAAGATGAAAGGAAGACCGACCTTTTTTATGCGTAATGGAGTCCTCCTAAGAAAAGTCATCTCTTGCAGTTATAGTCAATTATGTGTCTAAAACTACTTGTTAAATACCCCCCAAATATGTCATAATTGTTGTGTCAAAAGAAAAAAAAGAGACAAATATTCATCTTCTAATCCTTAAAATAACAATGAAACCATTTTCATTGACACTTGAGATCACGGATTTTGTGAGATGTCTAGCTGTCATTCTATCATTTGCCACCATTCAGATTTTGCATCGAGTAACCCCGGTCAGGATCATCTATAGTTCGCCGTCCATCTAATTCCTAGGTATCATACTGGCCAAGAGGAAAGGTCCTTGGTGGCACCAGCAGTATCAATGGCATGCAGTTTGTCCGGGGGTCGAAGCACGACTACGACAGGTGGGCCAAGTACACAGGGGCTGAGGACTGGAACTACGAACATGTTCTGCCCTATTTCAAGAGAATGGAGGACATGCAGATACCCGAGCTAAGAGGGTCAGGTGAGGAGTTTAGTAGTGTTGTTCGCGTGTTAATCAATGTAACTAACACACACATTTTGGTGGGGGCTTTAACTTACGCTATTACAACCCGGCTAGCACATTCGTAACCAGCTCTATCTGCTGAGTTGTGCCGTATAGCACAGTCGTAACCTAGGACTCCACCACCGCCTCCTCCCAACCCACATCCAGTGCTGGACACTCAGTCAACAGATGCGCTAGAGTTTCTGGGACTAGGCTGTAACGCCGGGAGGTCGGGTCCCTCTTGGTGTCTAGCCTTTGAAAGTATGCGATAAACACCCGAACTAAAAGGACAGATGAAGGGTTTAAAACAGTTAATGTGTAAGCCAATCGATATGTGAAGTGTATCTTTACAGAACAGGGCGATTGCACTGTGTCAGATCTCTTTGCAATTTGACACGAGTTATCCGTTAAACCAAATGCATATCATGATGTAAAGTAAATATAGCCACAAGTGTAGCTAGCTATTTTAGGAAGTAATACACGTGGCTACTCATACGTTTATTTAGATGAATTCTTAAAAGTAAAGCACATTAATATAGGAATAGCGAATGATAAATAAAGTTTGGTTTGCCGTAAAAATTTAATTCGAATATGTTTCGTTGCTGAGATAGGCATCCATTAAAAAAAAATAACAACAGATTTTCGTTTATTTACTTTTCATTTTTAGCTTTAAAGATAATCAAGCTTAAATTGATTAATAAGGGGGATCAAAGCTGAGTGCTTTCATGATGAAAGTTAGTCTTTTTTTGTTACACTTTTCAAATATTTCGTATGCACATAATTTATTAGGAGCACTGGTAAGATGCGTAAGTTGCGTACTCAATATTTTGAAAGAACACATTTAATAGCATAGTCACTTTTCCTTGAAGAAATGAAACTCGCTGCTACATATCACATAAATGAACCAGTCGTAAAACACAAAATAGAATCACAGAAGATGCAGGAGCTGAAAACTGAAAAAAAGGTAACACAACTATAAGTACATTGTGTCTTTTTTTTTCTTCTTTCATGCATAAGAATTTTTCTTTGGGGGAGAGGGGGGGGGGAAATAATTTCACAGAATGAAGGAAGCGATGAATGAAACAATGAATGGAAACCAAATTTTACCTGGTGAAATACGTAACGATAACCATTTGACCTACATATGTTAACCGGAATCACTGAATTTACAGAAATTTTCCATTTATAGAATACCATGGTCAAGGAGGTCCCCTGCCAATCAACCGAATCAAGTCTCAGCCGGTGGCCAGCAAGATCGTTGAAGCTGCCCAAAATGTGGGTTACCCATACAATGCCGACTACAATGGTGCCACCATGGAGGGTGAGTGGCTTTATACATTTACCCACAATGGAAGGCGAGTTTCATGATTAAACCTTTACCAAGTACAACTTCTTCTCTGAATGGAAAATAGAACACCACAATACCACCTCATCGAAAATGTGTCAAAATTATTTATATAAATGCCTACAATTAAACCAGTATTTGTTCATCATAATTATTATTTATGACCTGGCTTTGACAATGTTGACACTTATTTATTATTTCACCATTTATAATTTTTTAAAAAGTAAACCTCATGACTTTCACGTCCCCCTGTCACGAGTCCTGTGGTCATTTCTTGGGAAGACCCACCTGATCTCTCTGATGACATCCTCCAGGTATTTCCCATTCTCAAGTCAATGCCCAGAACGACGAGAGATGGAGCTCCAGCCGTGCTTACATCCACCCCATCACTCATAGACCCAACTTGCATGTGGCCGTCAAGTCCCACGTACAGAAGGTAACTGATATTCTTAGAATTAACATGTGGCCGTCAAGTCTCATGTACAGAAGGTAACGGACATTCTTAGACACAACTTGCATGTGGCCGTCAAGTCTCACGTACAGAAGGTAACTGATATTCTTAGACCCAATTTACATGTGGCCGTCTAGTCTCATGTACAGAGGGTAACTGACATTCTTAGAATTAACATGTGGCCGTCAAGTCTGTGTACAGAAGGCAACTGACATTCTTAGAATTAACATGTGGCCGTCAAGTCTCATGTACAGAAGGTAACATATATTCTTATAATTTATATGTTTCAGTCAAGTCTCATGTACAGATGGTAACTGATAATCTCAGAATTTACATTTGACATTCAAGTGTCATTTAGTGTAGAGCAAATGTTCTCAATCTTTACGCCGCGGTGATCTGGGGAGCAATAGCTTCCTCTTGGGGGTGCCACGAAATAAAAATGTAAATAAACGTGTACTTTAAGAATTTGACAAAAGAAGTGTCGCCGATACATATTTGCCTGGTCTCTTTCATCGAATTCGTTCCCACGTATATGCGTCGTTATCACACCGAATTGGACACAAGTATAACGTAGCTCGCTATAGGTAGAAGAATAAAGCACAACCTTCCTTCTATCAACGGCCAGAACTAATAACACGTACTCCAAATACAGACTAAAGACACGACGTCACAATTACAATAATATTATGTCACCAACGAAGTGGAGGGAAAAGCGTTCATTAATTAAACTAACACCCAGAACACACGGCGCACAGCAACAAAAATTTTCGGTGCGCAACAATTGCTAGTGAATACCCATACCCGAAAGGGATCATTGTAAAAATCTAGGTGCAGCAATGACGCCGAGACTTCAAATAGTTTGCGAACCTCTGGTGTAGATTTGCATGTATTTTGTTTACTAAAGGTAGGGTGCCATCTGTGGGTTTATTTTCCCCAGATTGTGATCAGCAACAAGATGGCCGAGGCAGTGGAGGTGATCAAAGGTGGCAGAAAGTACACCATTAAGGTCAAGAAGGAGGTCATATTATCAGCGGGGGCTATAGGGTCACCACAGATCCTCTTATTGTCAGGAGTAGGGCCAAGAAAACAATTAGAGCAGCTCAAGGTAGTTAGTTTTAATCTATGTTTTTTTCTTAAAGCGTATGTATGTTTTGTAAAGGCTTCACTATACTTATAAATGAATGCCTTATTGAAATAAAAATTGTAATTGCTTTCAGAATTATGTATATGTTTATTTACCTTATTATGCTGATTTTATCGTTACAAATTGTATTCGAACTGGCTGTGGAAAATCTTGACATTACGTGATCAAATTTTTGGGCGTGAAAAAGTGTTAGTGTTCAATCTCTTCTTCTATACTCTGAGGGCCCACTATTAATGTATTGATCACTCTGGCTCATATGTTTGTAGAGGGTTCGCGATGTAACTGGGCGTGGTTTTGAAGGAGATACTGCACTGGTTGCAAGGGCTACTCAGCGAAGGTATTATGAACTGTGGGTTGGAAGACAGGAGGCAATAGAGTCAAATGTGGTAAGTGTAGTCACCGCAACAGTTGCTTTTGGAAGCTTGTTCCAGTTCCTTATAGTCTTTGGCAGGAATGAGTAGCTCCTGTACTGAGTACTTGTTTTTATGAACCGGAACTACCTGTCATGGCCTCGTCACGGGGGGGGGGGGGGGGGGGAGAGGGACAAGTTTATTTTTATTGCTGGAGCTTTGGACTGGCACATTTTTTATTTTGTACATCATGGAGAACCTGGCTAGTCGTCGTCATTCGTTCAATGGTGACCATGCTGCTAATATTTAAGGAGTTCCTGTAGCGGTTCAGGACAAAGCGTGCTGCCCATCGCTGGACCGCCTCCAACCCTTCGATGCTCCTTGTTGTGAATGGGTCCCACACTGAAGAAGCGTACTCTAAAAGCGGCCAGACAAAGACTTTATAGGTTTTTTTCTTTTACGCTGGTGTTGCCGATCTTCAGTTTTCGCCTTAGGAACCCTCGTGCCATAAGACCATCTGTACAATATTATTTCATTATATTTACGTGACTTATCTCAGATCCCCGTTGTAGCCGACCTTCCAGTGGGTGAAAACCTCCACGATCATGTGTTTTTTGACATGGGTGTCAAGATTAAGGAGCCACTCTCTTCTAAGTTTGACAGTCCAACGAGTTGGTGGACTTACCTGGAATACAAAATCTTCGGCACAGGTAATGTGTACAATTTTTATTTTATATTTTCAGTAACTTTAAAAATGAATTCTTTTATATGGCTGCAAATGAAAAATGGTTTGTGGGATTGGGGAGATGTAACGATTGATGTAATTTGGTATTTGCATTCAGTAGTTTCTGACTGTCCTGAAAAAATAACTTTTTAATTTTCTATGGCTCAACAGCTTCTTAAGACCGACTATTCTTTCTCTTTCGGGAAGTCTTGACACTTGCCACTAATAATTAGTTCTTTCTTAGGACTCCTGACTTCTGCGTATCAGGTTGAGGCCCTGGCCTTCAAGAGCACGACAAAAGAAACACGAGAGATAGACTGGCCAGACTTGGAGATTCACTTTTTTACCTACCTGCCCCACACAGACTCGAACTCCTGGAGTTACACCAATGACGTAAGTGCTGGATAACTAAGGCGTAAATGCTGGATATATTAGGTGTACGTGCTGGATAAATAAGGCCAGAATTAAGGGATATAAAAGATTCCCTTATTTTGTGTTTTATGATTTTCTTTTTTGTAGGAACGTTGTAAAGAAAAGACGGGGGGGGTGGGGGTGTGTGTTTGGACAAACATAAAAACATTATGTTTACTATAATTTATCTTATAAAAACCTAAAACTTTATATCACTATGTCGCATGTTAGTAGGTTACCCATTTATTATACATCTTTACATAAATGTAATTTTAAAAAAGCACTCCATCAATTCTGGCTCCTTTCATATTAGGGTGACTCCATTAGATCATTTTGCCTGATCTTTTCGTTTCTTTCATTTGTCCCTCAATCTTTGGGGTAAAGGTCAGCGGTGAAGTATTATTTGAGATTTAGGAGGGACGCAAAATCCTGATAATCGGGATGCAAGACTTTTAAGATACTGTTATAGCATATGTTTTGATCGTGTTTATGCTGACCACGAGCCGTGGCATGCCACCTTACCTGTCATTTTGTTTCTGTTACTGTCGTCACCGAGAACGCTACAACTCCGCCCCCCCCCCAACCGCTCTTGAATTGGAAAGTTGTTTTACGTTTCAAGTACGGTCTATATTTGACTACATAGAGGGAGAACTATTCTGTGTTGATAGCATTTCTGTTCCCTGGGGAGGTTCTGACTCGCTCACTATTAATAACGTAACATTTGAGATGGCGTCTGTGGGTCGTCGAGCGCGAGCTCTTAATACCCCCCCCCCCACCGGCACACCTCCACACGGGCCAGACGCAGGGTCTCCCTGCCGCCAGACGCCGGGAACCACTCCCCCCCCTGGCCTGGGGAACGTCCGGTCGACCGAAAACGCTGCGTTTAAAGCGTTCACGGTCCACTCTCCGTGGGTCAGGACGGCTTTTGCGTCCACTCCGGGGGAAAGGTGTGGCGTTACCCCCACCCCCCTTCCCCCACCGTCCAGGGAGTCTTTCGGTCGGGTCGTAAGCTGGGACGAAGCGGTCGCCTCAGGGCCGTTTAGCTAAAATTATCGGTGTGGGTTTTAAACGCCCCCCCCCCCAGACCTCATAGCCATTAACGGCAACAAGTCATCATGTTCTTGCGTTACTCCTGTTGCGTTGGGAGTCACGCAAGAGGCGGGGGGGGGGGGCTTTTAGCCCCGGGGGAACAACGCCTCCTTACTAGTCGGGCACGCCCCGAAGAGGCAAAACCCCAATTTAGCCAAAATTTTCGGGGGGGGGTTTAAACGCCCCCCCCCCCAGACCTCATAGCCATTAACGGCAACAAGTCATCATGTTCTTGCGTTACTCCTGTTGCGTTGGGAGTCACGCAAGAGGCGGGGGGGGGGGGCTTTTAGCTCCGGGGGAACAACGTCTCCTTACTAGTCGGGCACGCCACGAAGAGGCAAAACCCCATTCGACTGTATTTCGCATGACATTTTACTAGACTTATCGGACTTACAGGAACCCTACAAGACTTACTAGATGTATGACTTACACACTGAATGTGTGGTTTAATATTTGTAACTTTCGATTATTCTCCCTTTTCAACTAGCTGTGCTGTAAGTATACGTTAACATAGTTTTGATTTCTATATATTTGTTTCCGTATTTTTATATCAACTTAATAGCATAATTAAATTGCTTATCATTCATACCATTAGTTTTTCTATCGCTTTTCTTTGTATACTGATTTTCAGTCTTTTGTTTCGCTTTTGTTCATCTAACGAGCCAACATTTTAAAACAGATTAAATTTTTAAAAGCATATAATGGCACTTAACCATATGTATAATAGTTACTTTTTAAAAAAAAATGTACAGTTACTCTCAGAAATGAAGTCTTCAAATGTATGACGAATGTCCTGCTTCAGGTAAACGCTGACCTGGCCGAGAGAGACACGACCAACTACGGGTTCCGCTGTTTGCCATCATTACTTCGTCCGGAGAGTCGAGGGAGGATAGCGCTTAGGTCTCGGGATCCATTCGACTATCCCGTTATTTGGACCAATTACCTGAGCCAGCAGGAAGACCTTGAGCTCTTGATAAGAGGTACATAATGTAGCTTTTTTTTTTTGTTTGTTGTTTTTGTTATTCACCGGGTCTTGTTTGAATGTTATAGGTAAATTGAACTGCTGATTATCGGATAGAAAACTCAAAAGCTCTCTGCATCCATCTGTCAAAATATTGGCCCAGTTTCTCGCTTAGAAATTAATCAGTAATCAAGTGCTGGATGCAAGAAGATTTATTTTTTTACCGGAGAAATTAAAAATTGCCCAAAAGTAAATCTATTTCACTAGAGAGCTCTCAGAGAATATAGTTTTAACTTCCTTTTAAAAGCAGAATTATACAGGTCGTCCTATCTTTCCGAATAGAGATAAGGAAAGGGGACCTTAGTTTTTTAGTGCCATAAAATAGCTGTTCTTTTACTTTTAGTGATATAACAGAGCTATTATTTTAGTGCCATAACACAGCTTTTCTGTTTTTGGTGCTATAACAACCAGAATTCTTCGTTCTTTTATTGGTCTAACCAGAATTGCTCCTTCAGTGATATAACAGAACTATTCTTTTAGGGCTATAATACAGCTGTATTTTTTAAAAAATTACTATAGCAGAGCTGTTCTTTACTGCTGTAAAAGAACTTTCCTTATAATGATATCACCAGAGCTGTTCTTTTTTGTGCTACAAAATGAGCTGTTCTTTTAGTACTGATTCTACTTTCAGAAACCTCGTTACAAAAAATTACCCTCTGTCTTGGTAACATGGTCTTAAAATTTTGCTTACTTACTGTCTGGATTCTCCCCCCCCCTCCCATCTCCCCCCCCCCTCCCTCTCCCCCCCTCTCTCTCTCTCTCCCCTCTCTCTATCCCCCCCTCTCTCTCTCCCCCTCCCTCTCTATCTCTCTCTCTCTGTCTCTCCGGTGGCTACGAAATTTTTTGACGCGTGCATTTGTAGATGCGATTCACTTTGAACGCCATTACAAATCTGTTCTAAGCGATAGTCCTGTGAGAAGATGACTTTAGAATTCTGGCGTAATACAATGTATCATCAAACAAGGTGTGCAAGAGTGTAAGAAAATCGTCGACGCCAAGCCGTTGAAGGATATCGGAGCCGAGCTCACCGAGACGACTCCGGCGAGGGCCTGCAAGCAGTATCGCTACGACTCGCACGAGTATTGGTCATGCGTGCTCAAGCTTCGACCCCTGACCATCTACCATCCTGTTGGCACGTGCAAGATGGGACCAAGTGATGACCCATCGGCCGTAGTGGATGCTCAGCTCAGGTGGGTCAGTGGCGTATGTCTTAATCTGTCATCGCCGTCAAAATTAAAAGGTATTGAAAGGGGGGGGGGTGAAGTAAATGATAAAAGTACAATGTATTGTTTCAAACTTCTCTGTAGAAGCGGGTTTCTTTTTTCTAATAAGAAAAGAAAGATGATGGACATAAACTAGTTTACACAGTGCTATAATACAATTATATGTTACTAACAAGTCTTAATCCTCAGATGACCATTAGTTTTAATAGGATACACCTTTAAGTCTTAACCCTTAGAGGACCGTTAGTAGGGTACGTCATCAAGCCTTTACCCGCAGAGTAACTTTAGTTTTAGTAGGGTGCACCGTCAAGTCCTAACTCTTAGAGTAACGTTTGTTTTAGTAGGGTGCACCGCCAAGTCCTAACTCTTAGAGTAACGTTAGTTTTAGTAGGGTGCACCGTCAAGTCCTAACTCTTAGAGCACCGTTAGTTTTAATAGTGTACACCGTCAAGTCTTAACTCTTAGAGCACCGTTAGTTTTAATAGTGTACACCGTCAAGTCTTAACTCTTAGAGCACCGTTAGTTTTAATAGTGTACACCGTCAAGTCTTAACTCTTAGAGCACCGTTAGTTTTAATAGTGTACACCGTCAAGTCTTAACTCTTAGAGCACCGTTAGTTTTAATAGTGTACACCGTCAAGTCTTAACTCTTAGAGCACCGTTAGTTTTAATAGTGTACACCGTCAAGTCTTAACTCTTAGAGCACCGTTAGTTTTAATAGGGTTTCACACTTATAAAATTTATTTCAGGCAAAAAAAACCTTAAATTTAAGTTTTTAATGAATCCATTGAACACATATTTGTCTTTTCTTTCAGGGTAAGAGGTTTATCTGGCATACGTGTTGTGGACGCATCCATCATGCCATGGATTGTCTCGGGAAATACAAACGCACCAGCAATCATGATTGGCGAAAAAGCTTCTGACATAATTAGAAGGAAAGTTTAAAAGAATTTAATCAATAGTCTTTTATTATAAATTTATAAGGGTTTATCTACACGTGAATTTGTATCGAGAAGAGAAATAATGTTATCTCGTGTGGTAGTCATCTCGTGTGTTGTTAGTCATCTCGTGTGATGTTAGTCATCTCGTGTGTTGTTAGTCATCTCGTGTGATGTTAGTCATCTCGTGTGATGTTAGTTGTTCTTGTGTGATGTTAGTTGTCGCGTGTGATGTTATCTTTCTCGTGTGTTATCTTTGATCTCGTGTGATGTTGGTTAACTCGTGCGATGTTAGTTATCATGTATGATCTATACGAGTTTCCCAAGGAACCGGATTGCGACCCCGGTACCTGGCCATGAGAGAAGAAATACTGGGTCACAGAAGAAAAAAAAATCCTCGTTTTGTGCTCAACATTGGCGGAACCTTGAGTGATATGAATTATTAATAAGTGGGAGGGGACGATTCGCCCCTGTTATTTCGCTATCGGGCCGTTTCACTGCCGGAGCATTTGCAGTTGGACTATTCGTTATTCCACCACTTTGCTGCCCGCTGTTTTGCCAACAAACATATAGAAATTATTAATGTAGAAAAAATTATAGTATAAATTCAGAGTTGATAAACAATAATTAATTTTTCAGAACTTATATATATTCAGTTTATATGTATATATATATATATGTGTGTGTGTGTATGTATATATATATTATATATATATATATATATATATATATATATATATATAAATATAAATAAATATATANNCTCAGGGACAGGGTGACGACATAAAACCGGTACGTCTCTGTGTCATTGAGAGTGTGGTGTGGTCGTAATCGATTGTTTACATCGATCGCTTCGGGAGATATTGCTAATGTGTACCGGTTTTATGCGGCCCATCCTGTGATATTCCTGAGTTGTTGTACACCAGCGAGGAAAGTTCTGCACGCAACGTATTTTTTTTTTTTTGAATAAAAATTGGTCACGGCATCTGTGGTCAGAGCAATTCCTTTACAAAGGGACTCGAGTAGGCTATTAAAAAATAAGAATATGTTACTTTAAAATCTGGCTTTTACCTAGAAAACACAAAAAGTGTACGTTTTAAAAAATATTAATTAATCTTACACATTTCTGTGAATGGAAACGGTTTCTGACCTCTTTTGACCGGAGTTTTGTTTCAGGAAGGCTTTTTCGGGGTGGTGTGTGTTGTGGGGGAAAAAAAAGGGGGGGGGGGGGGCTTTTGTCGGGTCATTAATTTTAAAGTGCTAAAATATCAATTTTTAAAAAATAAAAAGTTTTAGTCCATGTCACAGAAATTTATTTTATTTTCCTTCAAAGAAATATTTTTTTAACGTGCAATGAAACGTTCAAAATTATAATGGAGCTTTCGGATCTTCAATTTAATATAACAATTGATAAGTATTTACTTTTCTTTTATGTTTATTCATCTGGATTTTAATATTTTTAGCATAATACACACAAAATTTGATTGTTCTTAATTCTTTAAAAAAATCCTGTAATATACAAGCGCTTTTCTCCATAAGCAAACATTTTACATAATTATGTGTGAAAACAAACAAATAATAGAATAAATTAATAAATAATATTACTTTAAATAATGTTTTTAAATTCATGTCTACGGGTTTTTTTAAAGAAGGGAAGTAAATAGGTAATGAATTTTTAATTAAGGGGAAAAATTGCACAATTATTTAAAATCTTTTTCATGGATATAAATGATGATTTTTTTTAGAAATATTTATTTTAATTTTGTTATGTATATATAATTTTATAAAACATGTAAGAAATAAATTGCCAACTTTTTTTTTTTAATCGTTATTGTGCTTCCTTTAATATTTTATGTAGTATGCATTTGTATCAAATTTGATGGTTACATTATTTGTTACTTTATTTCTATAGCTCATATAAGAACCTTAAGCGTTAGTTTGGCCCTTAACCCTGGACTGGATTATTTAAACAACTCAAACCTCCTCAGCATTCTCTTCTGGATAATGAAGTGTACCAAAAAAATATCTCAAGTTTTATCAGGATCCATAATTACACGTAGAAACGTATGAGGTGCTAAATATGTTATCATGTAAATTATTTTTATACCGTTTTTTTCGGTTGTTTTATTCGCTGACGAAGGCTTTCTGTCGACACGTTCGCTGTTTTGTTGCGTTTATTTTTTCAGGTTTAACCCTACTCTGCTTTACTCATTTTATTTAGTCCCCTTTATAATGCGAACCAAAAAAAAAGAGTGCACCGAAAGCCTTCCTGTAATACAGCGGTTCTCAGACTGTGGGTCGCGAAGCGGGGTGGGGGGGGGGGCGTCGAACTACCCTTACACAGGAGTCGCTGAATACGATCGGAAAACATATCTTTTGAAATAGCAACGAACATAATTTTATGGTTGGGGGGTCACCACAACATTAGGAACTGTATTCAAGGATCGCGGCATTAGGAAGGTTGAGAACCACTATCACAGAAGTTGTTTAAAAGCGCGCCGTTCTGCCTACACGTAAAGGCTTATTAACAATCTTACACAAATTAAGCAACCCATAAAGTCAAAGTTTTTCATATAAATCCTTTATAAACTGTAATATCAAGCAATTAAAAAGTGTGATTGGGGGGGGGGGCCTGAAAATTTGACTAATTATGGATTCAAGTAACGGTCTTTTTAAGAATCCTAATTAGTGCTCCCCCCCCCCCCCCCCCCCCCCCCCCCCCCCCCCCCCCCACCCCCACCCCCCCCCCAACCCTCCCCATCACTCCCCCCCCCCCCCCCCCCCCCGGGGGGGGGGGGGGGGGGGGAAGCTTGCAAATACATTTCACGCCACTGAACTCTATTAATATTTTAATGTCCCACCCGCTTTTACAGCGAGATTTAAATTAAAAGTTTAGTGACTATGTCCCCTAGAAAAACAACAACAATAATCATAGGGTTGCAGTCTGAAATTATTTAATAAACTGTACAGTCCTTTATTTGGATACAGTTTACGTCGCAGCATTGTTCCAGATTTTAGACGCTGAAACTTGAAAGCGAGAGGATATTCCTAAAGAAGTTCGTTCATTCAAGATACTTCACCCCACTGGTCCTCTGAGATCAGTGAATCAGAATTATTGTGTCTTGCTATCATTTCGACGATCTGGTGAGTCACTTCTACTTCTAGTGGGTTTTGTTGTTTGTTTGCTTGTTGTTGTTGTTGACGCTTCAAGGACACGCTTCACCATTTCTTCAGTTGACACCTAAGAAACTTGGTAAATGATATTTAAAGAAATGATATTATCTCATGTCTCGTTTCTTGGCTGAGGTATTACAGAAACGCCGTCTTAGATATCCTGAAACGAAACGACTTATTAATCTTGTATCCATCGAGAAAGGGTAATTGTCATATCCAAAAGAGAATGGTGGCTGTCGTATCCAACAAGAGAATGGTGGCTGTCATATCCAAAAGAGAATGGTGGCTGTCGTATCCAACAAGAGAATGGTGGCTGTCATATCCAAAAGAGAATGGTGGCTGTCGTATCCAACAAGAGAATGGTGGCTGTCGTATCCAACAAGAGAATGGTGGCTGTCGTATCAGTCGAGAGAATGGTGGCTGTCATATCCAACAAGAGAATGATGGATGTCGTATCCAACAAGAGCATGGTGGCTGTCGTATCCAACAAGAGAATGGTGGCTGTCGTATCCAACAAGAGAATGGTGGCTGTCGTATCCAACAAGAGAATGGTGGCTGTCGTATCCAACAAGAGAATGGTGGCTGACGTATCCGTCGAGAGAATGGTGGCTGTCGTATCCAACAAGAGAATGGTGGCTGTCGTATCCAACAAGAGAATGGTGGCTGTCGTATCCAACAAGAGAATGGTGGCTGTCGTATCCAACAAGAGAATGGTGGCTGTCGTATCCAACAAGAGAATGGTGGCTGTCGTATCCAACAAGAGAATGGTGGCTGTCGTATCCAACAAGAGAATGGTGGCTGTCGTATCCAACAAGAGAATGGTGGCTGTCGTATCCAACAAGAGAATGGTGGCTGTCGTATCCAACAAGAGAATGGTGGCTGTCGTATCCAACAAGAGAATGGTGGCTGTCGTATCCAACAAGAGAATGGTGGCTGTCGTATCCAACAAGAGAATGGTGGCTGTCGTATCCAACAAGAGAATGGTGGCTGTCGTATGTTTCCAACATAACGCCTCAAGAACATTAACTCCGAAAACAATGAGCATTACTGAAGTCTTTGTTTATTAATTTAGTGTTATTCTTTATTTGCAGTCCTTTTTGGACAAGGTTTTGTTTTGAGTACAGATTTGTTAAAATTCTTATTTTTTTAAATTTCTCTAAATAAAGTGCTTGCAATTTCTATACAGAGGTATATACTAAATGAGCTGTATGATGGGAAACAATTTAAAAATATATTTGCAGTTCTTTCACATTTTATCACATTATTACTATTTTTTTAAATTTTCTTTTAAAATCTGGTGACTAAACTGCACAGCTTTACAGTTTTGAGTCATGGGTAAAATAAATATGTGTTTATAATCACCTAGAAATATAATTAAAACTCTTTTCAAAAGAAAAGGAACAAGGCATTCGCAGGTTAATTTAACTAGAATTTTGTTATATTTATTGAAAAGTAATAATATATAATTTATTATTCTAATTATTATAAATGGAAAAACATTCAATGCGAAGACTAATACATGTACTTAATTTTTTTTTTAAATTAAAAAATCAACAAGATTAGAGGGAAATAACAAGGGAAATCTTTTCACATTTCAAGGGAAAAGTCTTACCCCCCAAGATATTAAAAAACGAGTTAATGATTCTTCTTCTTATTATTTTTTTTAAATTTTTTTTTGTGTGCTGTTGTTGAAATTTTTAAAGTTATGTATCTTCTTATCAGTAGCCCCCTGGTGTATCTTTAAAATAAAATTTCATTAAACTAACAACAGTCTCAAATATATACTGACAACTATTTAAGGAGCATTGATGAAATAAACAAAAATGGAATTAAAGGTGTCCAAAATAGGCCAAGCCTGTATAATATGTTTATCCTCTTTCCTTATCTTTCGGTTATTGAGTTCAATCAAACGTGTCAACCACCTTACTCCAGTGTGGAGCAGGCGCGACTGATGACGACTCACAATATCTTCTCACATTAATTTGAACAGTCTACTAAATACGTCCATACGTGGTCACCATTGTATATAGTTTATTATTTTGATGACATTATTCAACATTTTCGTGAGCTCAGAACGCTACTTTTCAAGATGCTAGCGTCTGTTTATGAAGAACGCAATGGCTGCTGCTATTACAATTCCTTTTTCATTGCTTCCTGTATTGTAATCAATAATTGGTGCAACATCAATACATATATCTGCACAGTTTTGCCACGCAAATTCATTTTATGAGAAGAATTCATCCAGGATTTTAAATATTTTGTTGTTCTGAAAAGAAGTATGCCATCCTGGCACGTTTGAACGTTGACGTAACGAAGAAATATATTCAGGCCAACTAATGACTAATACATTACTCTTTCATTTCATTAGCTATGA